ATCCTTTGAAACTATTGGGCCTTCAATTCAATACGCTAAATCTACTTCCTCAGGATAAAAATAAAAATGTGATGGTGGAAGGTGATGTTATAAAATGACTGGGAAGCATCAACATGTCTGGGCTCCCAAACTCAAATAAAAATTAGAATGTGTTTCTGGGAACTGTCATGCTGTTTGCACTCTTTGCAGACTTTCATTCATTTGAAGTCAGCTCCTATTATTTATATTTCATTACTGTTATTGGGATTTGATTGTTGTCCAGTATATTTTTCTCATAAGCACCCAAGATTGTACAGTGAAGGAAATGTTTTGGAAGTCTGTTAGAAGACAGATTATTGTTTGGCCATTAGGCAGGTGTCAGGTGAATGAACACAATTTAAAAGATCCATGATTGCTTTTTTCACAAAATGGTAAAAATTTGAAAGATTTTTGCTATCTTACTGTTTCCTAATAACTTTTATATTCCTCCCTTGTAGCTGGCAAGACATGGATTAAATATAGTGATGATAAGCAGAACTCTTGAAAAACTGCAAAAAATAGCCTGTGAAATTGGTAAGTCTCTGTCTCAAACTTATCCTCCTATTTAGCAGACTGGCTTTACAGAGTTCTGCAGGTCTATTGCTTTGGTACAGTATCTAGCACAGGAGGGCCCTGGAAATTGCTGCACCTATGCCCCCAGATATTGCTTTAATGCTGCAAATAGTTTTTTATATTACTGTGTCTCTTGAACTCTTCTTGTCATGGATCACTTTAAAAATATATGCTGTCTTTCGAAGAGTGTAATGGCTTTGATAAAAAAAAGTGAATGTGTGTTATTTATTGCCTTTATCTGCTCTGAAAATCTGTAAATACAAGCAAAGGAGATGTGAAAATTCATCAGAGGGATCTATCAAACAGTTTATGTTTAGGAAGATAAGGTTACTTTTAGACCTGTTCTTGGAACACAGCAAAGGAGGAATAAAAAACTAAATCAAAGTACCTGGTTTGGTTTTGGTTTGTTTGGTTGTTTTGTAAGTTTTTCAAATTACATTTGGCTCTCAATAAAGCAGTTAAATAGAGTGTCTTTGGAATTAATGGCTCCTTTCTTTCTTTCTTCACTCTTGGAATGGCTTGTATAAATACATTAAGGTTGTCAGTTAGACTTTATTTAGGAATCAAATGAGTTTTATCCTTCATTAAATTTACAGATTGCTATAATCAAGACTATTCTTTCCACTGTCTTTTTTCTATGTATGTCTTCTCTCCACTAGATTCCTTGACTCACTTGTTTAAAGTATGTGTCACTTCAAGATTACACCTCTGTTGGAAAGACTTGCCTGTAAGAAGGCTTAGCAGCTGATGCCAACAGAGTATCAGGTCCAGG